GCCTAGTACAAGTTGTTGTACTATTTGTTCTTGCATACTTCCTATAAATTCCTCTGGGAATATGAAATCCGACTTTTATCTTATTTCTTCAAATTTGTCATTCTAACACCTTTTCCATGAAGGCGTACATGAATTTTGCGCTTAGGGTTAGGAATAACTTCAAAGTAAGGGTCCTTAGAGTTGCTACCATCTTCATGGTTGGAAGACTCCAAAGCATCCATTTTGGCCTATTTTAGGAAAAAAAATCATTTACTATTTATCAAAATCAAACAAATATTAACTATATTTATCTAAGATGTTAGCTCACAATATTTTGTTCGGCTTTTTCGTTGTTGGTAAGGTATGTTCTGCCAGCAGTTCTCTTTGTTGATTCCTTATAAACCTTTGATTGGGAAGGTTCTTGCTTATTCGGATCTTGTTGTTTCTGTAGAAAAAATACAGTACATTAAATTAAAATGATTATACATTATAACGAAAAAGAGTAAAAGCCTCATATAGTACAAGTGATGATTATAAAATTTGATAATTAAATTGCATAGAAATGAAATAAAGTATTTACCAGCTCATGGCGTAAAATGGCAAATGAGTTAGGACCCATAGTATGCATATCATCTAACATTAGACGAGTTTCTTTGTTGATTCTACTAGTTTCCTATGTAATAATACAATCCGAACAGAAACCAAAATTAAATACATATGTGATAAAAATAAATAAGAAAATAAAATTATGAATCATGCTTGTAATTCGTAAAAACTATCAAGTAAAAAAGGGTCTTTATTAGGCCTTGAATTGAGGTTATGCATTTGTGTCACTAATGTAATTACGTAAATAGCTTATAAACGTATACCTCAGCCTCTTTAGTAAGCTAATATTGCAAAAGATCTCTGAATTGAGATTCTGAAATTGTGTCAGGTTTATATGTCCATCTTAAAGCGTCAGTGGGATATGCATAGAAGTATTTTTTCTTAACTCTGGATTTATGACATTTCCAACATACATTCACAGCCTCCATCACCCACCGCAATCCTGCTTGAGGAACCATATACTTTTCCTACACCAATCATGAAAATAATACGTTAGTAACATATAAATGGAAGTCTAAGCATAAGGCATTAATAGTGATTTTAAAAAAAAAAAATTTGTAGCATTTTTTCTATATACAGAGATCCAACATGATAATGCAAAGGATAATATTACTACATACTAGGACATAATCCCATATTTGTTGAAGAGTAGATAGACTTTTAAAATTAATATCGTTAAGAGGTGCAAGTTCCGAATCCCTTGCCACAGTTCCAAAGAATAGCTTGAACTCTCGGACAATTTCCTTTGTCGGTCCAATTGGCTGGCTAAATGAGTTCAAAATAATAGTCGCGCGTTCCTCTCTTGTACGTGCATGAACCTTTGGAAGCATTGATGGACCTCGATGCCTTTTGCTTTTAGAAGCTTTTGCAATTTCTGTTTTTATTAATATATTAAACAGATACATGTTAAAATGATGAATAAACAAAACACACAAACACACACACAATCTTTCTTCTATTATTCAGCCCTTTTTTGCAATAACTATAAGTATATTTAACTAAGTCACAAGCTTATGCAAACATTATAAAGAATAGTAAGCGTAATTTTCTTACAGACAACTTTTCTCACTAGCTCAGTGTTGGCCTTCAGAGATCAAAAGCAATTAAAACCAACAATTTGTTCAAGTCAAAAAAAAAAAAAAAAAAAAAAAAAAAAAAAACAATTTGTGTCCTATATTAAGGTACTTGTAACAATCACATACCCTCCCTTCCGAACTGTGGTAGAACTTCCCATTCCAATTCTTGATCGCCCTCAAATTCATTCCATCTATCGTCATCATTTTTAATTAGTGCATCATCATAATCATTCTCAATTAGTTGCTCATTATCATCGTTCTCATTCAATGCATCATCATTCTCATTCAATGCATCATCATCATTATGCATTCATGCTACAATAGAATGATTCAAAGATTGATTACCCTCTACAATAACGTCATTGTTTTCTTTTTGCCTTTTTCGAAACTCGAGATATGTTGACATAGAACCAAGAGAACAGAACGCTCTTTTTTTGCCCTTCATTTTTGACACAACTTGCTGCTCTTGCTGCTTCTTTTGGATGCACTAATTATGAACTTTCTTGGCTGCTCCAGTTGAGTTGATGTCATGAACTTTATCAACATGATGCTTTTTTGGCTATTCATCTCACCAACAACCATAGTTCATGGGCGAACTAATGAATTATGTAGCTTTGAGACCTATAAAACAAATGGCAAAAATAGATAATTATACATGTTTATTATGTAGCATAAAGACCGTAAGGTTTCCGAATCTCTAAGAAATTAACCTATAAAACTGGTGCAAGTTTCATTATTTCACATACACCCTCTGATATGCTTCTTTCAAATTTAATTTCCTTTGCAACTGATCTGCTAAAGAGTATTTATTACAGTATCAAGATAATTAGAACTCTATAATAACTAAGTTCATGTAACCAGTTCAGTTATATATGGTTATAAGTATAGCTAGAGTTGGAATGAACTTAGAACAGGAAAACCACTATTTTAAAAAATATTCCCATGCAGAAAAAAATAACAGAAAGGCAAACCTATTTACAGAGTTTTCCTTATCTTTTTCCAGAATCAAGATTGTCAATTTCCATGATGTTTATAGTTTCGCCCTCAATTTCACCATCATACTCTGACGTGGAGTCCTCATCTCTATATTCTGGTATATCATTATGCCTTGCACCGGGAAAAAGTAAGGATTTTGTATTTTCTTGCAGTAACTTATTAGCCTAGGATCCCGATCCTTGGGCTTTCATTCGTGCTGAGTTAGACTTTAACTTTTGAAGCCTTTGTAGCTCATATTCTGGAACCTGACTTTGGGAAACAACCAACTTTGTGCCTATTTCCTTTCATCTGAAAAAACAAATAAAAACAAATAAATGGAAACACGTTAATTTTACATATAACATAATAACATGAAACAAATTGAATAACTTTTGTAAACAAAAAAAAAAAAGGAAGTCATATAAAAAAAAAAGTGAAGAATAAATAATTGTATAGCAATACCATCTGAAAACTCTCTAGGGTGGATTTGAATAGCATAATTTACACCCTCATTATTCAAATCTTCTACATAAAACACTTGATGTGCTTGAGATCCCAAAATAAAAGGCTCTTCTTTAAAAAATTGTCTTATCCATATTAACCTTAATAAGCTCATCATCATCTTTTTCCGAGTAAAACCACACACATCTGAATACGACAACACTGAAATAACCATGATAAGATAATTCAGTGATCTCTGTTATTGAACCATAGTAATTAACATTTCCCACAACAGGATTATGATCTTTAAAACTCGCAAAACTATGTGTCATGGCTGTTAGAGTGACTCCACTGTTTTGAGTAACACAATTTGCATCACGCTTCATGGTATGGAACTTATAACCGTTAACTGAGTACCCTGTGCACTTTTAGCAAGATGAGAAGGTCCATTAGATAACCACAAGATATGGTCTGAGATAATTTCTCGACCTTCTTGGATAGTCAAATTAACTTTCTTCTTAAACCAATCCAGGAAATCCTTGCTATGGTCTTGAGCACTAGTCCAATTTCTTTTTCTTTTAGTCCTTACACATATCTTGTGCTCACTGTGATGACAAATAAAAAAGATTATCTTACTAACACAAAAGAGTAAAAAAAACTAATCAAAATTTAAGGAAAGAAACCTACATTATGGTTGGTAATCTTACCTTATGTATTTCTCAACTTCCTCACAATCACAATTGAATAAGATATAACAATGTGCTTATGCCCTTGAAATGCGATCAATTATGTGACCACGATTTTTTTTCTTTGAGATCCTTCCCTTTCCCTTGATAGGACGTCCTACTTTAGGGAATAATGAATGTGAGTATTACACTCATTAACTTCAGGTTCAAACTAGCTATGAAGGCAATACATTCCTTAGCTTGGTATCCTTCTGCCATATAGCCTTTAGGACGGGCCTTATTTTGAACATCTTGCTTCATTTCTTGAAGATTCCTCTCAATTCCATACATATTTCTTGAACTAATAGGTCCACCTAACTTAATTAAGTTGACCAAGTGTATGGGTAAATGCACCATTATATTAAAAAAAAGCTGGAGGAAAAATCCTCTCAAATAGGCATAGAGTTTCAACTATCTCAGTCTGAAGTTTTTCAAGATCTTTAGGATTAATAGTCTTACTCCTTATACCCTTAAAAAAAAGAACAAAATCTTATCAAAGGAGAAGCAACATCTTTGGGTAATGTTGTCTTCACAACAATTGGGAGAAGATAATTCATCACAAAATGAGCATCATGAGTTTTGTAGCCTGTGATTTTCCTTTCTCCAACTTGCACACATCGACCAAGATTAGAAGCATAGCCTTGAGGTAGCTTGGAATTTTTTATGGCCTGGCATAACTTCCTTTTTTTCTCTAATGACATCCAAAAGCGAGATTAGAAATTCTTCGCTACCATCTTCCAATCTTATTGGTTGAAGCTCTGGCATCAAGTTCAGTTTTACCAAGTCTCGACGGGCATTAGGATGGTCTTTGGTCTTCTGGTACATGTCTAAAAATGTCCTAATGACACTATCAAACACGTTCTTCTCAATATGAACTACATCAAGATTATGCCGATTAGAACAATGCTTCTAATATGGTAACTCAAAAAATATGGGTATCTTTCTCCATGGATTCGGATCATCCTCATCATTCCTTTGTTTTTTTTGCTTTTTTCCAAATGCATTTGAAAAATCACGCAACATATTCTCGATATCAGTTCCTGACAATGGAATGGGTGGAGTTCTTTCCTCAATTTTTCCATCAAAATTCCTCTTATTATGACGCTAAGGATGACTTGGATCTAAAAACTTTCGATTATCTCTATACACATTCTTACCACTGTAAGTCAATCTCTTAGAATTTGTTTCATAATGGCATTCAGGGCATGCTAAGTATCCTTTTGTGCCCCCACCCTGATAACATAGCGTAAGCTGGAAAATCACTTATGGTAGTGATCAAGGCTACATGCATGTCGAACATTTCTTTGCGGGAAGCATCATATTTTTCCAGTCCAACCTCCCACAAATCCTTCAAATCCTTGATTAGTGGCTGCAAGTATATGTCAATGTCATTACCTGGGGAAGAAGGACTAGGAATTAGTAAGGCTAGCATAAAAAACTCGGGCTTCATTATCAGCCAAGGAGGCAAGTTATAATTGATCAGCATTACTAGCCATGTACTATGTACAATACTCATCGAGTTAAATGGGCTAAATCCATCCGTGGATAACCCAAGCCTCACATTGTGCAGGTCACCAGCAAACTTTGTATATAAATAATCAAATTCCTTCCAAGCTTGACCATCAACTGGATGATTTAAAAGATGATCATTTTCACGCCCATCAGTATGCCAAGTCATGTATTTCGCCAACTCTTGACACATAAATAGTCGTTGAAGCCTTTTCCTTATTGGAAAGTACCTAAGAATCTTTTGAGGAATCCTATAGGTCTTTCCATTTTCATTTTGAATGTCATTCTTTGTGTCATTTGATTTCCACCTTGGCGTCTTACAAACATGGTAGCTTGTTGCTTTTTCATGCTCTTCCCAATATAGCATGCAATCATTTGGACATGCATCTATCTTATTGTAATCCAACCCCAACAATTTTAAAACACTTTTTGCTTCATTAAAAGAAGCAGGCATTTTTGCATGAGGTAACACCTCCATTATAAGCTCCAATATATCTCCAAAAGCGACATTGGTTAGCTTATGATCACACTTCAAAATAAAAAGTCAGATCATGAAGGAAAGTTTTGAATGATTTTTACAAACATGATACAATTCTTCCTGGCCTTCTTCAACTAACTTAAAAAAAAATAATTTACCTCATCATTTGGCCCCTTTCTAAAAGCATCACGTGCATCATGCAACAACCCTACTATGTCATCATTACAATCATTTGGGTTTGACCCTTCATCATTATCCAAAATAGTTCGTTCTCTTTCGATACCGATCCCTAACTTTGACAACTTATCCGTTCTTGGAATGAAACCATTACAAATAAGGTGGTCTCTCACAAAACCCTCATGACGCCAAAAACGATAATGACAACTTTCACAAGGACAACAAATTTTATTTCCTTGAGACTTAGAAGCAAAAGCCTTTTTGACATATTCATCTACTCCTTGTTCATATTCATCACTCCATTTGGAAAACATCCACCACTCATTAAGAATTAAGAGAGTTATTTATTTAAATTGTTACTAAAAATAAAATTTATTTATTTACTAATTCACAAGAACTTAACTGAATAATAAAAATTAAATAAAAAGAATGACAAACATATTATAAGGGAACATACAATCAAATTGCAAGATTATTGACATGATACCATACCACAAAATTACAACATCATTAAAACTTTAATGATATGAAATCATTGAGCAATCTTAAGCTAAAATACACATCAATGTAACCAAGGAGTCATGAGATAAACCATATGCCTCCAATTGTTATAACATAGTCAATTAACAAGTCAACTCTCTCATTAACAAAAAATAAAATAAAATAAAAAGTCAACTCAGTATACTTAGATAATATATCATAATCTAAAATAACTTAATAGTAAATCCGAAAACAAAAGAGCAGTTAAGCTAGGAAGATGTTTAAATAGAAGTGGAAGGATTATTTCAAGAAGCATAGCTACGTGAACTATGTTATATAGCTTCTATATAACTTGATTTCACTTCCATCAAGAAACAATTATCCTTTTGTAGCACATTAGTACCAAAAGATAAATTTCAATTGGTCGCTAGAAAAATGGTTTAATTTCTTTTATAGCATAAATAGCTTAAGCACACACCTATCTCTCCTTAATAGACAAGATACTATGTAATACTAATTTAGTTAAGCTGTTAAGGCATGCAAAACTAATTTGAAAAATTCATTAAAAAAAATATTAACACAAATTATCCATCACATCATCCCAATACAACTTCAAACTCTTAAAATATTAAGGCCCTTTGTTCTTTAACAATTTTGTCAAGTTATTAACATAGTGCAAAAGTAACAAAACCAAGTAAAATTTTATGTTAACTCTGCTCACGAGTGTATGTCAATAAGAAATGCTCCTATGTATCACCTACACATGTTAATGGGAGAGTATGGATCGAAAACTCAACAAGAGAGGCAAACCTATAAGATAAAAGCATTCATATTGACTCCTTGAATACTAGATTTACCTAACTAAATACAGAACCCAAAGAGAGACAAAGAAAAACTTACAAGCTAGACAATAGTAAGAGTATAGTTAAACTTAATCATATGTCCATATCATTCTAGAAGAAATAAGTAGCTGAGAAGTAATAAATAGGCTAACAAAAGCTTGAAGTGTCTTTGTCAGCTAAATCAAAGAACCAAAATCTTTTTTTACTAAACAAGATGGTCTTAAAATATCACCCACCATTACTATTATTAAACAGATGTTTGACCATAAATGAAAATACATCTCCTAATGCGTAAATATAAGACAAATTGGCTAACAATTGTTCAAGTGACTTAAGCTAATTGCAGCAAGCCAACAACTTAAATTAAACTCAAATGCTATATTAATCTAGCTATACTACTTAAAGTATTAACCTTAAAATTTATAACCCACCCAAAAGAGAGATATTTCCTCAAAACAGATTTATTCAAAACCTTCTAAACCCTTGAAATTTCTTCCTATTACCGTTATTTATGGCCTATCTCCTCATCCCACACTTATAATCCATTTATACTAGATCTGAACAAAAAACAAAACTAAGTAATCCATCTTCCTATTACTGTAAATTATGACCTCAAATACAAAATTTGCAACACACAAACAAAGAAACTTCAAATTTAATTAGCACAAAATGCAACCAAAATTTTTTCAATTAAGTAAGAAATTTGAAAATCGAAACTACACAATGTACCTTAAACGCACCTTTGAGGAATTAGCAACAGCATCGGAACTCGGAGCATGCAAGATGAAAATGGGATAACCTTCGAAACCCTCAAAATATGGTATTCAACCACTGACGAACACCGCTACTTCGCTTTCGTCTCAGCCCCTTAAACAACCAGTGCGTACCTTCGTCTACAACGGTAGAATTTTTGTGTTATTTTTTGTGAAATTTCTGACAATGTTAGCTAGGGAAATGAGGATAGAAAAGGAACACCCAACCTTCTAGTTCTTTTCCTTTTTTCGATTTTTTTTTTTTGTCTTAAATTGCAAACACGTGTAATTGTTTAAAAGATTTTGGGGAAAATGTAAAGGGAAATAATGAAATTTTACGCACCATATGAAATTTTTTTGGAGGAATTACATATGCCGTTGCATTAGCTTCCCAAGTTGTCAATATTGGTAGGCTAATGCAACGGCTTTCAATATCCGTTGCATTAGATCTACCTCTTATACATTGAAGTAGGATGCGTTGTATTAGCCTATTCTATTGCAATGGCAAATAAAATACCGTTGCATTAGCCAAAATTCATTTGTTGCATTTGGTCAAAAATGTAATACTGTGATTTAACTAAGTGCTCAGGAAACTAACTATTCTTCTTTGTTTGCTAGATCTTGTTTTGGATGTTTATGGACCTTCCTTCTTCTTCGTACCTCCAAGGCTTCCATGGAATAAATTAGGGTTGAAGAGTATTTTGGAAGATAGGGGAAGGTAGTATTATAGCAAGAGAGTATGAGAGATAAGGGATTTCTGAGTTTAGGGGTTTTCATACTGAATTTTCTGTTGTCTTTAGAGCTAAAACAAAGACCCCTATTTATAGGCGTAGGAATCTAGGTTTAGGGTTTTAGAGCCACGACGTCAAGTGGCGCACGCAACTCTCAGAGTCGCGCTAGATTGCCGAGCGCAACTCTAAGACTTATGCGCGGCAGGCGCACACAACTTTGAGAGTTGCACGCGGTGCGGTTTGCCTTATATGAAAACGCGTTTTTAAAATTTCTATAACTTTTGATTGCGCAATCGGATTAAGGCAAATAAGATATCATTGGAAAGCTCTGAATATCTAATTTCCAATGCCGTTAGAATTAGGTTAAAATATGTTATGGATCAAATGATATGGCCGTTTGAGTGCAAGGGTGTCAGTTTTAAGGCCTAGTTTAGTATTTTGATGATTATTTCTTCATTTTAACTTGAATTGGGCTTATAATATACCGTTGGAAAGCTCTTTGAAAGGGATATCCAATTGCATAGGCGATGAATGGATATTATGTGGTTAATTGTTCTTATTGGCTCGGTTTTCAACATTGTAAGATCAATTTGATTCAATCATTGCATTTGACCCATTTAGGTCCGTTATTAATCAAGATTAAAACATGTATGAACATGTTTTAGGCCTAATTAGTAATAGGACTAGGCTATAAGATGATTTGGTCTCAAATACAAGTTCTAAATTACTTCATAATGCATTTTAGAGTCCATAAACACTTCAACTTTGATCTAGCATGAAGAACGAGTTTTTGTAACATCATCGCACTTCCCGTCGGGACAAGAGGCCAAAAGTAGATGTCTACAGTTAGCCCTCACTTTGATCGAGTCTAGAATATACGAAGATCAAAATAGTCAAGGAAGTAAATCCGAGACTCATTCTGCAAAGTTCTTTTAAGATAGATAATCTTTCAGTAGTGTTGAGAATGTCGATACTATTCTTGGTTCGCTAAATGTTCAAGACAAGTAGATACTAAGACCAGAAAAGGTATTTTCTGAACTTAGTGTGCAAAAGAATCTAGATTGACCCTTTTCAAGTATAGAACGCTTTTACAAGTAAAGGATGTCCTGGGTTATGTCATGTTATGAGGAGGTACCGAGTTTAAAAAGATTAAAAGAGGACGATACCCTCTCAATATTTCATCGGCGGTCTAAAGCCCCTCGATCTGTCATTGAAACTTTAATCCATGATTTTTACAAAGGAAAAGATGATAAATAGAGGGGGTGTTTCGGCATTCGTAGCCTAACACTTGAATAAAAGATTGACATACGCTGCCAAAACAAATACTTGATACTTGATGTCCATAAGATGGAAATACATGTCTTAGGACTTGAGGCACATATCCAAATCCAGTGAGAGAGAAGAAATCAGCAACTCTCTCAGCAGTTTTGTCCACAAGATGAAAACACGCGTCTTAGGACTGGGGGCACTTGTATAAATAGGTGCAGCTGCAGTTGGGGCTACTCGTTATACAGCGATTGGACGGATACCCTAACTGTCCGGTAAAGCATGACAACTTTCAAGCTAACCGTATTAGCTTCCAACGGGGGTCGTCTGGCCCTGATGGTTTGGCGCGCCTGTCGACTCGTTAAGCTGACGCCTTTAACAGAAACAGGGTTCTACCATTTTCGACGGGAGGCAAATCACGTTGCTAGTATAATTTTACGCAACACATACGCTGTACTATTTTACGGTGCACGTACGTGGTATTTTTATTAAGCAACGCCAAAAATACAAAAAACGTGACATTTCTTTAAGGGCAGTACAGGAAAATGCCAAACTGCCTATGGGAGCTTTTACGTAAAGCACCACTACGGGATATTTTGTAGACGCTTTTCTAAAAAACATCCAAAACATATGCTTGGGGCAGGCACAAAGCACGGTGCGCATGCAGGATGATGCAAAAAACTATCAAAGAAGAAAATAAACTACAAAATGCAAAGCAATAAAAGGGTTTTTGAAAGTTTTAAAAACTTCGCGAGAAAGCCTGTCGAGGCACGAATTCAACGAGCTACAACGCTTGGTTTGGAAGACAAAAGAAAAACCGGGAAAATGGTCATTTTGACTTACCGGTATCAGCGCGCAACTTTGAGGATTGCGCTGGGGTGTCGCGACAATATTAGAAGTTGCGCGCAGTTGTCTCGCGCAACTTTGTGAGTTGCGCGCAGAACTTAAACAACAAACAATTCTGGAAGAAACATGATCCGCGACTCATGCTCTTCTTCGCCATTCTCCATTTCCGATCTCTTTCTCTCGAGCTCCATTTTTGCTGTCGTTTGAAGCTAAGGAAAGTAAATCTTGGTTCTTGTTTCTTGTACTTAACTTTGAATTTGGTCAACAAAATGGGGAAAATCGAAAGAAGAACCCTAATTTTTGAAATTGAGGGCATTTGATTTGACTTGTTTCCATGAATTTGTTTGTTCTATGTTGTTGTGACATGTTTAAGGAATATATTGCAACAAATTTCATG